TCTACTATCCTTTCTCAAATTATAAATTGAAGGCAAGTAAATATTTGACATTAACTAAGAAACAAAATGGAAGTTTAACGAATAAAAAGTTATGAGTTGCACTGGGATTGAATTTTATCATTCTTTCCCCCCTATATTTTGATGACCAAACATGTAACTAACAACAAATAAGTGTAGATGTACTCTTTCTCATAATTCCTTATATCGATTCCTCCATACAAAGTTATTTAGAGCATTAAATAAATAACAATTCCTCAATTATTCAACCAATCATCCATACATTAAGTACATGAGTTACTAAGTAATTGATATATTGGACCATATCCTTAGAATCACAACATATCGAGTGGATTCCATTACATTTGGGTTTAAAGTCTATTTTCCAACTAACCATAAATCCTAAATTAAAAGACTATTTTGTGAAATAGACCCAAAAACATTAAGTATCAATGGAACAAATAACATTTATATAAAGAGAAGGAAATATCATAAATAAACTATCAAAATATTTCAAAATAGAAGATTACATCTAATCCCACAATGGTTCTAGCTACTCATGTTAGCCATTACAAAATAATGAAAGGAGAAAAGAGAGATGAGATCCTGATTCTCCAAATCTTCTTTGCCCTAAATCTCTTCTTTATGCTTTGTTCCCCAATCTCCTCGTTATGCTTCTCCCTCTAATTCACCTTGTTTAAACTGGAATAAATAAATTTTTGTTCAAGCTAAAGTGTCTTATTTGAGTGAAAACAAGATAGAAGCTTTATTCTAGTATGCGCATTCTTCCTTAAGTGAGAATATATCGCTTGAGCGAGAATTGGTTTAGATGTCATATGCCTTCCACTTCAGTAAGCTCTTAGAGATCAAAAGTTAAGCAAAAAAGGAGTAAGAATGAATCTCTATCTCAATTGTTAAGTTAATTAAGTTAACAAACTTAAATTTCTATGATTAAAGAGAGAAAGGACATTCAAATTCATAACTTTTGAACAATTAATTACTCAAACTAATGTAAATAATAACTCAAAAAATAGGTACTTATCATCATGTAATAATATTTTTTTCCCTTAACTAGCACACCTCCAATGGTTATGCAAACGCAAAAAAAAAAAAAAAAAAAAACATAAATAACTTATAAATTTGTTAATTTAATAACTAATTGAAAGAAAAAAACTAAGTTTAGTTCACTTAATTCATTGTTTCATTTTATCCTATAGTTCAATTAACTACATGTGGTATAATTGTCTATAATTTAACAAAGTATGATATGTTAAGAATGATCAATTTTAAATATACAAATATAAACACACTAGAGCAAAATCAACATAAAAAGAAAATCATAATTATCATTATACACAAAGATCACATAAAGTATACACAGGATCTACTATAACCCTAGTTATGAATTTAGTTACTCATAATGAAATAGGAAAAAAAATAATTGTAAAGAAAGTCATAATTATTCAAAAAAACACAAACCAAAGAAATCTCAAAGAAAAAGAGATGAAGAGAGTTTTTGTTTATAAAAGCACTCTCGATCACTTACTCAGTCTTCGAAAAGGTATTTTTTGTCTTCACCAATTATCTCTACTCTTCAAATACCTCCAAAAGTCATCAAAAGTTAACTAAGAGAAAGTCTCCAAGTGTTAAGGGCCTTTTATATAAGGTGTAGAATGTAAGAAAAGATAATGATTTGATATCTAAAAGATATGTTTTATCTCTAACAAAAGATATAACTTATTTATATAATTATATATGATTTTCTATTACCAAATTCAAATTTCAAATTCTTTCTCGTAGTTTCTTGACAATCTCTTAATTGGTTAACCCAGGAGAGAAGCACAATGGTTCATACTTTTCAGCATATGATCATAAAGTATTTCCAAACTGATTGTTAAGTAAGGTCGTGCTTCTTGATAAGCATGACCTTAGTTTTCATAAATTTTTCTTCAATTGTGACCAATTGCTTTATCAATTCACTGGTAATTTTTTTATGCTAAATTGTTACAAATAATAGTAAAATCAATATAAAATCCTCATTAAATACGGGTCAAGTATATCCAAAATATACGCTTATCACACGTCTGCCGTAACTTCAACATAACCTATGCTTAATCAAGGTGTCTTTTTTGTCTTAGGCATGCCAATTGAACACGTTCCATGCTGGATGTAGTTGACCTCTTTGATTAGGGCATGCTAATTGATCATACTGCGTGCCGAAATATAAAGGAATTTTTGTCCAGTGCATATTCTATACTCAAGCATTAGGAACTTTCTATTCAAGGTGTGCCTAATGGGAGCACACCTGTGTCAATTTTAGCAAAGTCAAATAAAAGAAATATTTAAGTTATTTTTTAGAAGAACTTTATTGTTTTTGAATTGATAATTTCTTTGGGCAACTTGATCTCACTCTCTTTGCCTTATATGCCAAAAAAGCCCTAAACTTTTTATAAAGATATTTTTTTCCTTCAATGCTATTCCATTTCATTCTCTATTATGAGTGTCATCTTTGTAATATTTCAAAGATATAACATTTTCTATCACAAAGCAATGTTCTCCTAATAAAAATCACTCATGAGATTTTTCTTTCTTTTTCATTTAGACTCGTCAATATATATTTTTTAGTTTCTTGTGCTTCGAATGTTATAACTGTGTAACTAAACATCCTTTGTCATGGGACTATGATAGATACATGTGATGTAACCTTTTTGTGTTAGAAAAAATTTTAGTGTGGCTTATGTGAAATATAATATAGACTTATATGTGATTTAATAAAATAAAAGGACTTATTAGTTATTACGAGAAGTTAATTTTTTAAACCTATATAAAACTAACGATAACTAACTTGATAGGAGTAGGTACGTAGATGTGTGAAAAAAAGGCAGATGCAAATTGAGTAAAAAGAGATTAATAATTCTAAGATAAGATCTTTATGATGTAGTAGTTTTCTAGAATTATGAACCCTTAGTAAAACTGCAACTTTCATGTGGTATCAAAGCTTTAGGTTATGAAATTTATGATTCTTCATAAATAGTATTTTTCTCCCAATTTTTATGAACTTGGAATTTGAAAAAAAAAATTAAGATGTATGAGTATCTGTTACAAATTATGTATTATTTTTCTCACTAAATTAAAATTTCTATCACAAATAGGGTCAAGAGTTTTTGGCAACAAAAAAAAATTGTCACTAAATTTTGAATTTTTAGTAGTGACAATAATTAAAAAGCTTAATGATTCTAAGCGTTGAAAATCAATTGGTTGAACGATACATTATTAGTTTTGTATTAGTAGAGTAAAAGATGTGCACTATTATGTTGGTCACTATAAGCAACTATTTGACCAAGAATAGTTTTTGTTGGAGGTAAGTGTATGATAAATTTTTTAATTACCAAGGTGGTCAAATCTAAAAGTTTTGCTTAGAATGACAATGGATGAAAATTTACTTGTGTAGTTCATTCTAAACTCATTATTGTATGAGTATATTCTTTTTCAAGTTAACTATAATACCATAAAAGATAAATGAACTATGCATGAATTGCACAATATATTAGTTTACGAGAAAACCAAACTTAAGATTCAAGGAAACCACTCTATTCATTATGTGAATAACTTGGGAGCTAGAAGGAAAATTGGTGAGAAACATAGAAAAGGTAAAAGATGATTCAAGATTGGCGAGTCCTCTACTAAAATTTAGAAGAAAAGATAACAATTGACATTTCTGTGAAATATCTCGACATTTCCTTGAACCATACCCCAAATGAAAAGTTTTTCTTTATGGGGAATAGAGTGAAGGTTCTAATTAAAGCTATTATAATTCATTGTTTAATTCCTAACACTGCATTTCATATAGACTTTTTTGAAACCTTTTATGTACCTAGTATTTTTAGGAATTTAGTTTCTTTGTCTAAACTTAATGTTGTTGGATATTCTTTTAAGTTTGAGAATGATTTTTCAATTTGTACAAGCATACTTGTATGATTGGATCTAGTACACTTTTTAATGGCTTATATAAATTGAATCTTGACAATTTATATGTTGAAACCTTTATGACCTTACATCAAAATATTGGTACTAAATGTAGTTTAGTAAATAAGCATTCTGTTTACTTGTGGCATAAGCACTTTGGACACATTTTCAAAATTAATCATGCAGTTATGGTTTATAATTATCTTAATTTAAAATTAAAAAATGTCTTTCCTTCCTTATCCTTCTAAAAACTCCCTATCAAATGTACTCGTAGATAAGTAAATTGTTATAATTACATGATGATTGAATAAATGGTAATAATTGATTAAATATTTGGTAATTACATTAGCATAATAACTTAAAATTAAATTGAAATATATCTAGATAGTCGTAAGAAGAAACTGAAGCTTCACGCTTAATTCTTTATAACTCTACTATATGATTTCTCTTTTTTTTCTCTTATCAATTTACTTCAATTTTTATTACTTTGAAGTCAAATACTCTATTTAATTGCATTATTTAACATTCAAAAAATATTACTAATGTGCTTTGTAAGCATTGTCTCTATGAGAACAATACTAAAACGGTTAAAAACATTTTCGTTTGTTATAATTGGCGTGTATACTTACCCATTGGTTGAAAACTTTTTAAAATGTTTAAAATCTATAATAGTTAGGTAAGTTGGATTGAAGATAGGTTAATTGGCCCAAAAAAATCATGAGTTAGGTTGATTTAGGACAGTTCAGGGTAACACGTGATAAATTTTAATATTAACTCAAATTTTGACGGTGCCTAACTTAATCTTAAAAGTTAGCTCATGCAATGACTTTTATAAACTCCACTTTAATTATATTTGTAGTTAATTTAAAATTTTAACAAGATCAAATACCATTTATGTGCTTATAGAGTCATACAATAATAATACACCCATTAAAGTAACTATCTATATAGTATCTCATTAGATACAAAAGTAAAACTAATTGAGTAAGGATTGTATGTGATTTTGGACTTGTAACCTATTGTTTACCTTTGAATACTTATTTAAGCTCAATAATCCACTTCATCTCATCTTTTATTAAACCCATTTGTAATTTTATAAGAATAGTATAAAGTTGTTGTGACATTGCTCGAATACCACCGTCCTTATATGATACCCTACAAAAATTAAAATAATTATATTAATTATCAATTCAATTTGTCATTTCTAGTATTCTAAACCAAAAAAATTTTCATTTGATGTTAACTCATCTCTAAGCATATTGTGCATTAAATGGGTTTATAATAAAATATATAATTGGTGAACTAATTGTTAATGCACTAAATAAAAATTATTTTTGATAATGATTAAAACTTACCTCCTGCCAAAATAAGTGACACTGCATACAGGTGATATAACTACAGCTGTCCCTGTGCAAAAGACCTCATCAGCTTCTAACAATTCATCCACTGAAATTAATTGTTCCTCAACCTACATAAATAGGTGGCACTTGAGAAAATGATAATATTAATAATAAATTTGTGTACTTACAATTGATACAAATAACAAGTCGCAAAGTGTAAGGTAACTTAATAATTTAAAGCAACATTATCTTTAAATAAAATAAAATAAAATCCTGTTATATTCGTAATTAGGAATCAAGATAAGAAACTTAAGAAACACCTAAAAATGTTGCGAAAGATTTGAAAGGTTTACAAATCTATTTTACATGGTTAGAAATTAAAAGATAATATTGTTACAAATTTTGTTAGTTGAGTGAGTTAATCTTATTTTCTTTAGATTATTTTGTTATCAATATTTGTTTGAGTTTTGTATAACTTCAAAATTTGACTTTATTAATCAAACATTATCTAAATATTCTCGTAAAAGAAAAGAAGAAGAAATAATCTAAATGATACAAATAAAAAAGGTGTCAAGAATTATATGTTATAAGTTTTTGACTTTATATTTTGTAGTACATGATAAATGCATAAGAGACATTAACATTAACATCTACAATATTGTAAGAAGATCTATATTCAAGTACAAACAAAAACACAGTATAATATTTTTATCTACAAGTTTGCTTAGATCATGGAATTCGGATTAAACATGGAACATCTTTAAGCAAGATATTTCACATTTTATGCTCCCAAGAGAAATTTGTATTTACCTTTCATCTAATAGGTCCACTAAAAACTTGGATTACTCCTTATATCTAAAAATTATCCAACACTAAAAAATGTGTACAACAACATTTTTTTTTAATAGAAAAAATCAAGATTTTTTACTTGCAATTTTTAAAGTCTAATCAAGCTTTATTACAATTAACATTTCTACACTCACTTGTAGTTTTATCAAATAGATAGTTTCTTTGTTTTTTTTTTTCTTAATCAATTCAAAGTTGTATTCGTTTATAATTGGATACATGAGATATAAATAGGTACAATACTAACAAATTCCTATGATTGTAACAAACTATACAAAAAATAAATTTCAAAATTATAAATAACAAAACTATCTAACACCAACTTGATTGATTTATCTCATCAACAGACAAAGTTATAATAATATATTTTATTTTTAAACTTTCAAATAAATTTTTTTCATCATATACATTATATTTGTAAATTACTAACATCCATTATGTTAAGCGAATCAACATTCTTATAAAGATTGTCATTATACTCGTTATCCTTTTTAAAGCACTAAAGTCGGTGATAAAGAAGATTGTCACTATTCAACAAAATTTTTTATGGAAAGATGTTAAGGATGAATCCAAAATTCCCTAGGTGAAATGGGAAACAGTTTGTAGACCGCAGAAGAATGATGACTTGGGCATTAAGAATGTGTAGTGGTTTAACTGGACGTTTCTTGGTAAATGGTTGTGGCGAGGTATTAATTGTTCTAATTTATCGTGGTTGAGGGTGTTGGAAGCTAGATATGGCAGACTAGCTTCTGTTATTCAGCGTCCATTAGTCTACAACAAATATTCTTTGTGGTGGCGTGATTTGCTAGAGAGTATTCATCAAGAAAATTCATGGTTAGATAGGAATGTGGGGCAAGTTTGCACACTCTTTTTTAGATAGATAAGTGGGTAGGTGGAGTACGGTTGTGTAAGGCATTTTCGTGATTGTTTGCAGTGGCGAGGAATGTTGAATTTTATGTATTGGAGAATAGTTTTTATGATGGCAATAGGTGGATTTGGGATGTTAGTTGGCGAAGATGACTATTTCAACATAAGAGTTCAAGCTTTAATCTTTTGTTAGAGCTTGTCGTTGGAGTTTCTATTAAAGTGCAACAGAAGATAAATGGGTATGGAAAGCAGATTCTTCAGGTTGTTATTCAGTGCAATCTGTGTATTCATGACTATTTGAACTTTTTAGTGGTCCTAATAGTGTAAATTAATGTACGACAGACGCCTTGCAAAGATTATGGAAAGGGACTGTCCTTTTTAAGTGTCTAGTATTTTCTTGACAATTGTTGTTGAATGCACTTCCTTGTAAAAGTTTGCTGATTGATCGTAGTGTTCAAATTGATGATATAACTTGTTGCTTCTATCATGATTTGGGAGAACTTCCAACTCATTTATTTTTAATGTGCTCAGTTTCATATCAAATCTAGTATTTTACAGCACGTTGGCTTGGATTCTCACTGGTTTTTTCTTCAGATTTATCGACTCACTTGCTTTCTTGGGTTAGTGTTGGTTGCAATAAAAGATGAGAGATGTGTTTATTAATTGTTTGGGTGAGTATAATGTGATCTTTGTGGTTACATAGAAATAGAATAATATTTTTCAATGGTGTTTTGGATGAGAAGGAAGTCATAGATTCTATTATTTTGAAGTCTTAAAAATGACTATCACTTGTTAGTAAGAGAGAAGCTATTTTGTTAGCAGATTGGTATCTGAACCCACGAAATTGCTTCTGTCTTAACTTTACATAAGTATGTTTCTAGTTTTATTTTTCTGAATAAGTATTAATTTTTTTCTCTATGTATATGGGTTTTGAGTTTCCCTTGAACTCTCTCTAATAATATATATTTTGCTTAACGAAAAAAAAAATTCTCATAAAAATTATTCCTTGTTATATATTTTTAAGTATTCTACATTGACAACTTCTTAAAATGTATATCTTACAACTAAGTCGTAATCTTCATAACTTAAAATATTAGGAAAATTAATTGGACAAGACAATATTTGAATTGTAGTATTATACATTAATTTCAACAAGGTATAAAATTTTTAACCATACCTTTCATTTATTACTCTCATTACTAAATTTTTGCAAATTGAATTTGAGAAGAGTAGCTTACTGAAAATTACAAAAATATCCATCAATCATATCTTAATAGAAATTTTATTACCTGAAATCCATGCATTCGTGCAATGCTAATTATACTTTTTCGAGTAATTCCAGGTAGGACAGTCTTGCTAACAATAGGACTTAAAATAACATTATCCTACAATAAAATGAAAAAAAAAAAGGCCAGAATAATGAAATAAGTACAAGTCAAGTATTATTCTAAAGCAATAAATATCATTCCAAATGACAATAATTTTGAAATTATGACTACAATGTTTCAAATAGTTTTATAAATAATATTAAAATTTTCATTTGAGAAGAGTAAAAATATGAGAGACAAATATAAGATAGTTAGAGGATTCTAATTAATAGTAGCAAATTTAGTTATAACTTGTGATCACAAAATACCAATTAATTGAAGAAAGTCACGTCATAGCTTCGCATGCATAACAATTAGTCCATAAAGCAAGTGGTGGGGCTTATTTAGAAAATTTGAAAATTTATAAAAATATGTAAGTAGACTAAAATCTATGATGATTATGATTAAGTTATTAATTTAACTACCTTTTATTAAATAAAGATAAAATGAGACAATTTTCTTTATGCATGTAAGCATAATATAAAATGCAAATTGATTCTTGATGCATAATACCTTAACAACAAAAATGTTACAAGACGAACACTCTTCCAAATATTTGTTGTACACACAATCCAAGTATAAAACATCAGAATAGCCATGGGCCTTTGCTGCAGATTGAGCTTTTAAAACCTACAAAAGGATAATTTTGTATAGACTAAACATAAAGAAAAAGGAAAACATTAAAAGCAAGGTAAAAAGCATTCAAGTCTATAAATAAAAATTTTAAAGATATCCACAAAGATTACTTATCCAATTGCAATTAAATAACTTTTATAAAGATAAGTTATGTCAATCTAAAGTTAGAATATTTCACGAGAAGACAAAATAGAAGACATTGTAGCATGAAAAAAAAATAGTTTTATCCGTTTTTTAGAAAATAATTAGAAAATAAAGGTTATGCTTATTGCTAAGTCAAAACGTTATGAGTTATTTTTGAAAATTAAGTCTAATTATGTAAAGAGTCAAATGATTACCATTATATTTTTACTTCATTTACGTGTAGTACTAATGGCAATGAGTAACAATTATGTCTAACAGTAAAAATGCTACTCTATATTTTATATAATTAAATAATCACTTTCATGTATCACGTATGATGAAAGTAATAGAAATTATCCTTTCTCTTTCTCTAACAAAAAGGTATATGTGCTTAAAGTTTGATCTAGAGAGTTAGGAAAAACATTTGAAAGCTGAGAGATAATAAGCAATGGCTTAATTAAATTTTAATTATTTCATTTTATTAGTAAAAATTATGATAAATATTTTTGTTGTGTGAAAATTTTTAAGTTCTTAAAATGTTTGAGAGGTTATAAAAAGCTTTATTACAACAATATGAAAGAGTTTATAACACACAAAACAGAAGGATCAAGCAAGACTTGACTTTATCCATCAACAATATGCAGAATTTTTGAATCTTGACATATGAAAGAATTTGACACTATTTTTAATTTTGTATATAAAGTGGTGATTTTCAACCAAATAAAGGGTTATAAAGAATAGGTAGAGAAAGTTCGTACAGTAAAAAAATATTTTTTGTTTTTTAAATACAAAATTTGATTACTTGATTTGTGCAATTGAATAATGAAAATATTTTTAAACTAAATGTTTGTGGGCCAACTAATGAATTTCCTTCAAGCCTATGAAAGAAAAAAGTTAAAAGAATAAAAGAAACTCTTAAAGTAGATATTTAAAACTAAAGTCTCTTGCAAAGAAAATAGAAGGAAATAAATATCTATGAGGATGTGGTCATCCTAGCCAACAAGAAAAGGAAGAAACTATGATGATTTTCACAATAGTAAAATAAGTAACAAATCTAGTAAAAGTGATTAAAAAAAAAGTGATAAGGGCAATAATGGTAAAAAAAATAATAAAAGAAAGTATAATAAATTAATGTAAAAGTTTTAATTGTCATGAACGTCATCTAATACTTGGAAGTTTAGAACAAATATTAAAGAGAAGATTAACTTATTTATGACATATAAAAAAATTAAAATTTATTATTAACGTTTAATAATAATGAAAAGAAAAAAATTCTCACAGTTTAGGGGAAAAAGATAGAAGAATATATTCTTTGGAGATTTTATATTTAAAAAAAAAATAGTTCTCATAAATTAATTATAAATGTTTATTATGTTTTAAAAAGTAAGATATTGAGTATGGAATAACTCGTTGAAAATGATATAAAATTTATATAAAAATTATTGTTTATGCCTTGGTTATTAAATTTCTAATTTGATCTTTCAAAGCAATTATGTTCAAAATGAAAAAAAATAAATATATTTATTTTGAAATAAAACTAATGATGTTAAATACTTGAAGGCTAACATAAAAGATGAATCATGAACACCTAAATTTTAGAGTTGTCAAGGTTATAGAAAATAAGAAGATGGCGAAAGGATATGTCTTCTATCAATTATTTCAATTAATTAAGTAAAGCATTTCACCTTAACACATATACAAGGAGAAGTTTTTCTAAAGAAAGTGACTCAAGACTAAAAAGATCTCTAACACTTGACATAATAAATGTGTATGACTTAATCACTTTCGTCCTCTGATAAAATATATAATTCTTATTCTTTATTTGTGATTTTAGTAAAAAAAAAAATTAAGCTTATTTTCTAAAACAAAGATTTGAAATATTTATAACTTTTAAAAAATTTAAATTTTAATGAAAAAAGTAATTGTGTGATCAAAGTCATAAAATATGATAGAGATAAAAATTTTATATTAAAAAATATAATGAATTTTGTAAGAATATGAGATTTGCATGGTTTCTAAATTGCATTAACAAATTAAAGTAACGTAGATAAAAAATAGAAATATTCATACTATGACAAGATGTAGTTTAAGAACTAAAAATATGTTTAAAAATTTTTAAATCAAAGTTGATTATTTTAGTATCGTATTGCTTGTTTTCAAGTATCAAACTACGAAAGATTAAGAGATAATCAAAGAATATGTTTATTGACTATGTACAAGATAAAAAGGCTATAAGATGTACTATTTAAATAATGCTAAGACTATTATAAGTTAAAATGAGACTGTGGTCGATAGTTTCCTTTAGAAAAATACATTCCTAAGAAATATATTTTCCTTTGACTAAGCTACATTTTTACTTTAAAGAGTCTAATCGTATATTTTTTGGACAAGTCAAAGAATTGGATAAGGAGATTTCTGTGGGATTGTTCATCTTTTGAAAAAAGTATTACAAAGGATTTCAAAATTAAAATGCATCTAGATCTTCAAGCTTTTAAGCTAAAAAGAACTAATTTTATTATGAAGCATATCAAAGAACACCATAATATGATTCGTAATTTACTTTCCAAACCAAGAAAATCAATATTTGTCATTATCTATTTTGCACCTTTTTCCTCACATCCTTATGACACTTCCTTTGCAAGATTTTGCTATTGTTAAAAAATATTTTTTTCTAAAAGTAAATCAGTTTTTCCAGTCCAGTTTAACTCAGAATTTGCGAGATCATGTCTTTTATTTCATGCCCAAAATGCTTGAACAAATTTCAAACCGAATACAACAATATTTTGTTAGAATGCTTTTATGTTTGTAATAATTTTATTATGATTGGTGTAGTTTGATTTTTAGCATCCTCTCTTGTCTATAAATGGAGAATGAGTTTATGTAATTAATTTGGTGTCCTTCTGAGTTATTTTCTTTTATAAATGTTGGTTTGCACAATCCTTACAATAGGATAATATTCATATGAAATATCATGATTACGAGAAAAATGCATGTGATTTGCTTAACAAGTATTTATGACATGCAAGGCTCTTGGTTAGACTGAATATCGGAGCTTAAAAGTCTCTATTGAAAAAAAGGATAAATTGTATAAATATCATAAACAAAGTAAACGTAGATCTTTGATCATGCAATCATATGTTATCCTTGTACATATACAAAAATCAATACTTTTCAATTCTCTCTCTCTCTCTCTCTCTCTCTCTCTCTCTATATATATATATATATATATATATATATATAAGTGAAGAGAGAGAAGAACAGTTTCTGATTTATATGGGAAAAAATTGAGGAAAACTTCGGTCTAAAAATAGCAGATCATATACATTTTAAGGTAAACAGAACATAGCAACTGGAAAGCAAATTTTAGCAGGCAAGAAAGAGAAAAGAGAAGGACATGCAAGGATAGCTTACTGCAGCATAGTTTCCTATGGTTTTTACACCTCCCGTGCCCCCAGGAGTCGCACGATGTAATTCATTCTCAACAACCAAATTGATTGCTGCCAAACCTTCCTGTCATGACAATGTTAACTATAAACTTTTGAAGGGTTATCGTAAGTATCTTTAAAAATGCAACAAAAATATACTAGACAAAGAAGAAAACCAATTTTTTTATGTAATAATAATAATAATAATACCAGAAATAATAAATTGCAAATGTAGAAAATAACTTATGCACACAGGATTATTTAGTCTGGTCTCGTTATGTTCTAGCAAAGGGTGGGATAAACTAGCTGTTAGTTTCTGGAGTTGAAATTTAGTTGCTGATCAATTAAATCATCATTGCAATCTATACAAGGATACTTTGTACTCAAATTAATTAAATCATGAGAAACACTTCTCTTCTATAATTCACACAACTCTCTTCTTTCTTTCAACCTTTCTCTTGCTTTTTCGTTTAATCTTTACTGCTCAGATACTTTACGTCCTAATGAATCAAAGAAATAAAAGAAAAACATTCTGGGACCCTATATGACTTCTACAAATTTTTCTTCACCTTTTCAAACTACAAACACGCTCATTATAAGTCACATTAACAAAACAATACATTTTTTTTCCTGATGTTACATCCATTTTTGTAATCTTCACAACTTCCTAAGTCATTATTTGTTAGTTACATCATGAAGAACGATAATATAAACATAAAAGTGCCATATTTCAAATAAGCAATAAATATCACATACCTTGAAATAGTTTCCAACAGGTGAAACATATATTAGAAAGGTGTACTCTGGAGCAGGTGCAACAGTGAGAATAGCTCCGCTTGCTATTAGCAATGGTCTGATATACAAGGAGCCTTGACCGTGAGGGGGAACCTAAAATAAATTTTTCACAAGTGAATCTGTATCCAGTACAACTATAACATTTTATATGGTAATGATAATGCTCTCTACACTACCCAACGTTTGTTAGCTAAAACAGTGGTTTTTATTGCTTCCACAAACTGCTCCACAGTTGGTGATGGCATGCACATTCGTTCTGCCCCCATCATCATCCTCATAGCATTTTCTTCTGGGCGAAAGAGAAGTATGTTCCCATCTTTATTACGGTAAGCTTTCAAACCTTCCAATAGTCCCTACGGTTGCCAAGAAGAGACAGACATTCTTTACTAAAAAAATATAGGATACAATTTACATGAAAAGGACACTCTAGTAACTAGACTTCAATTCTTGATCATTATTCGTGTTAGACCATGTTTGATTATTGCAACTTCACTAGCTTCTTAAGTTTTCCTTAATCCTTAGTCACAGCCAACTAAAGCAGAAAAATTAAATTACAAACATTCATTGAAGATGTGAATCAGAACTTCCTGCTTAGAATCACATCCAATGTGAGATCCTGGCAAACACAAACTTACGGATTTGAAGAAAGGTATTGTTAAAATGGATTGGAATTCTTCAAATTACTAGATTCAGATACATTAATACATTACATGCATGTGTGCATATATGTGTGTATGTATGTAAGTGTTATACAACTAAACCAAATCCTAATATCAGTCACCCCAGTTCTTTATTTTCTAAAATTAAAAAGCTCTGGTCCTTGTCCTGATGAAAGAGACATGCCACTTACACGTGAACATGTGCCACTATTGGTCTATTGCAAAATATAATAACAAGCAAAACACACAGAAACCACACTATCAGAACAACTAAAAGTATTTTCCTTCAACAGATTCAAATGTGAAGTAATAAAATACATCAAAAGTAAATCCACCAAGAGAATTATGAGAAAACATGAGTTCAAATGTTGAAATTAAAATTTTCTCGGCAAAAGCTTGTATTGGGAACTTGATACCTTAATTACGGATACATAGGATTTAGTATAAACATTCAATGATTTAATTACCTGCCCGTAATTCAAAACTCCAGCACAGGGGCTCAATTCAATGTTCCCAAAACGCATTAGTTCACCATTAGAGAAGCTTCCACCTTGTGGACACTTCATGATATACATATAATCAGTGGGTTGGAGACCAAATCCGAGGTTGTCCCACTCTACCTGAGCTAGTTCATTTGTTTCACTGCTGCATTCACAAAAGCATTGTGAGATACTAAATCAAGACAAATGCGTGAGTGGAAAGACAACTTAAAATAAATGAAAAGGATTTGGATGCTCTTCTCTTAAACAGGATATCATCACTTGACACTATCTTTTTAATAATATCTTTTCTTAGACAACATGACCATCTCATATCATAAAAAAGAAAGAAGAGAGCATTCAAATCTAAGTAAGTTTCCAACATGCAGAAGCAGGGTACATAACTTCAATATTTAAAGACCAGATCTTGCAAACCAGTACATGATGTTAGTTAAGAAATGGAAAATAAATTGTTAGTTAGAATTTAAATTAAAACATATTATAAATTACCAAAAAAAAAAAGTATTATTAATAATATTTTCTGACATTTTGTTCCTTAACTAATACAATGATTAGCATTTACCTCCAAGATAATTTATTTTTATTAATTAAAAAAAATTGCTTATTTCTTTTAAAACAAATAATTGTTCTCTAAAGTTGAGCTAAACCTCAAATATGAGGAAAACTCGGCAATGGTTACGAGATTTAAGACTATGATTTGGGACATATATCTGAAATTGTTTTGTGCTTCGGAGTCCTTAGAATAAAAGAAATAAAAAGGGACCTGTGGGCATGAGATGCAGTGCCGGCACATAGCCTGGGAGGTGAAGCAGTTCGCAGAACACGAAGAGAGGAAAGAGTGGCTTTGGGGAATGGCTTCAAGTTAGAGAAAAGAAGACACGTGTGGTGTGAGGGGAAGATCGTGCAACAATGTTGAATGCCTGGTCGGATATTGAGGCTGTTCTCCATTTCTATGTCTCTTCTTCAAGAATTATAGAACAGAGGAGGTTGTGCAGTTCACGTGTGTTTGTGTTCTCAATTCTACAATCTTCTCTGTTTCATTATCTTCTACTTGTATTGTAGCAGCCATTAGTGCTCAGCGATCGGTTCATTGAATGTTAATGCTTCATGACTCACACTCGTGTCATGCCTTTCTATTTTTTTATATGTTAACTCTATCCAATCTTAATTATTATTATTGCTAAATACTAAATAAAGAAATTTATTGAACAGGATATCTTATCCAAAAATAATCATGGCATCATTAACTATTAATCATTAATATAGACCATCCAAAGATGAATACTTATCATTCATGTCATAATCTTCGTGTTCTTATCAAATCATCTGAAATGAATAATAATTGTTCATATTTAATGAATGTTAGACTGTTGATCATTCAATTATTATTATTCGTACAAAACTGAAGTTCAGTGTTTATAATATTGGTACTGTTCTCTCCTTAGAACGAGGTTTTAACTTCATATATATCAAACGCACTAAATTTTAATACCCATTTTCCTTGTTTTTCACCGCTCTAAAATAAGTCATAATTATTCGTTGGGTAGTGACAGATTGATTATAATTGACCAACCAGCATCCAGATAATCATTTGACATCAAAAGTGAGTTTAACGTCGGGGTAAAATTAAACCAACGCAGTTTTTTTTTTTTGTAAAATTAGAATTATATATTTTAATAAAATTAACTTTTTAATCCAATAAACTTATTAGAATTAAGTATAAATTGAGTCTTACGTAGAATGGAATATGAGTAAGTTAAAGGTTTATAATGAGATAAATTCATGTATCCATGACCTTAAAATTTTAGAGTTACATTGTGATGTCTTACTCATTAAAAAACTTCCTACCTAATATTTCTTTAACCCAACAATGATATCAGAGCCGTTCTAAGGTGACAGACTCACATGAGTAGATGAACCGCGATCAAGAGAGTCGATGGTATGAACTCATGGTCAATGTGTGAAGCAGTACAAAAAGTATTGTTGAGTAGACGACAGCCCATGTAATATAAACCATGGATACTCGTGATGAAAAAAACTTTTGCTGTGGAGGAAGCTAAAGGAGGAGTGTTGGAATCAAGTGTGAATTAAGTCCCACATAAAATGGGATATGAGTAAGTTAGGAATTTATAAAAAAATAGACTCATGTACCTATGCCCTTAAGATTTTGAAGTTACATTATGCTGTCCTACTCATTGAAAGGCTTCTTACCTAATATTCCCTTAGCCCAACAAAATTATATGACTCTTAAATGGTCCTTGAAATTAACTTTCTTTTTTTTTTCTTATGTCATGGTATTAACTTTCTTCAGATTTCAGCAATTTTTTTTCTTTCACTTTATACCATTATACGTACATAAATTGTACACAGAGATAAGATTTTCTTTTTATTTCCTTGTTCATGTAGAAATTTTAAGATAAAATTAATTTTTATTTTTTTTATATATGAAAATTATAATAAATAAATTATTATACTAGTTGAGTAGTTCAAAGGTAAAATATATTATCAATAAAAGATATATTAAAAAATTACTAAATTTTAACAAAATAATTGACTTTATTGATTTATGTAAACTTTTTTTTCCTAAAAGATAAATAAAACAAAAGGTAGTATTATTTTGTCTTGTCCGGTAAACAAAAATAAGTCAAAAAAAAATTATAAAATGTAAAGGGAGCATTTGGTAGGAAAATTATTTCAAAATTTTCAAAAATCTTCAGTTAAAAATGTGAGATTTAAATATGAATATTTAAAAGAATATCTTCAGAAACTAACATTCTGAAGAAATTTTTTTTTTCTCTAAGTTTTTCAAGAAAACATTCCTACATATAGTGATAGATCTCAAAGTTTCATGATTTTTTTAATATAATATAAAGGCTTAATTGCACTTTTCATTCCTATATTTTAACATTTGTGTAATTTTGATCCACTTTTGAGCCTCTAGTTTTTTAATATTTAATTATTTTATGTATTTTTTTATTTATAAAATTACATAAATCATTGATATAATATTTTATAGTTATGACATTATTTGGAAAATACTAATATATCATTGATTTATGCATATTTATAAAGAAAAAAATATATAAAATAATAAAATAAATAAATATTTTATACATTTTATTTTTATGGCTAAATTTAAAAAATTGATTTATTAACTTATAAAAGTGTTTTAACAAGTCCCTATTTTTTTTGTCAAGAATGTTAACTCGTAACTTTTTTTAAAAAAATAAGACTTATTTAAAACATTTTTTAAGTTAAACTGAAATAAAAAAATAGAAAATTAAACCAAAATAAAATTAAGAGTTAGGGGACTAACTTACTAATTTAGCTTATTTTTATTTAAATATTTTATGCTTTTATTAAATTAATAAAATATGATATATTCATTACATCTTTATTAATTATTGGATAAAATTTTGGGATAGAGGACTTAATTTAATTGTTTTTTAAAAAAATAAAATAATTAAATGTAACCAATTAATACTAGAGAAACCAAAATTGCATGGATATCAAAGTATAAAAATTAAAAATACAATTAAGCCTAATATAAAAATATAATTACACATTTCAATTCTCTTAATCCTATAGATTATATTATATATTCATTTTGTCATCCACTTTTCAAAATCCCTATTGCTAACTCACTGTTATAATAAAAAAAATATTTAAAAATAATTTTAATTAAAACTTACCAAACTTAAGAAATTATAAATTAATTATTTCATAAACTTTTTATGTTGTCTTTAAATTTATTCTAATTGTATTTGGTATAAGCATTGTTTATATGTTATTATATATTGTAATCAACTCATTGTTACATTTAAACTTGATTAAATGTTATTTGTTATATTTTACAGTTAAAATATAAAATAAAATAACAGTTTCGTTAAAGTGTCGATAATAAATTCAAATAAAATATCTAAATACCATTAGAGTACGGAGATGGCTCAAGAATATATACCCAAATTAATTATTACTCGAACAGATAAGTGCATTAAGGCATGGTAATTTTATAAAATGAGTTGATAGGAAATATTAGGAAAACCCAATTTAAATCAAATCAATTGTTCCCATTGAATATGATGTCAATGTAAGTTAATTCTACTTTTAACCATCAATCTACAATAAAACGTGTTTTTCAAAAAGAAAGAAAGAAAGAAATCTTGTTTGATTTCTTTTTGTTTGCTTTGCATTACATTCAACGTGCGAACTCCTGAATACTAAGGCGGTGACTTGTTAAAGAATCCAACCTTCATCAGCACAATATCAAGCACATAATACTAAACAGGAACTTCAGATACATGGGATTCTGACTACCTTCATGTTTGTAGACGCAAAATTACTATTAATTGCTACACGATGACATTCAGCGCTGGGTCAAAAACTCAAATCTAGAGGGTTCCAAACGTCAAACAAAACCATACCAGAAAAACTCACTGAATCAGAAAACCAACATGTAAACTTTTGCCAGTAAAGAACCCTTGGCTGCATCTCACTTCTCTACTATTTTTCTTTGGCTTCATTCTTTTTGGCGCACGTAACATTCCTACTTTACGTACTATGATATCAACAGAGAATCCTCCCCCCCCCCCCAAATTGCAATTTGCAACCACATCCATGAAGCGCTAACACACAGCATACATCCCCTAGTTAACTCTACATACATACCCAGCTGCAAGTCACCAACAAATGAAGAGTCACTCCTTTGCCATCCTGCATTACAAGAGCACGAATCCGATCAACACAGTATATTTCAAGATGCGACATTTTCTTTAACAACGTCAACAGGAAATATGTTGAGAGGAATGTACGGCTAGCCAGTATTGACACACCCACCTCACACACTCCTAATATATACTTTGTCCTAACCACACGAATTATCAGTACCAATGCTCATATTCCTCATCTACAGTCCCTGGCATCAGTCAAACAATACCTGCATGAAGATCGAAGAACTGGGCAAAACTTAAGCAGAAAACAAAACAAAAGAAAGCAGTCTATAAATTGAAAACAACTAGACTGGAAAAAAAATACAAAAAAAAACTGCAGTATATAGAAGCGAAGTTAATTCTAAATCACTACCTAACACTAACAGTGCTCAGAAACTTGTCCATTGTTTCCTTTGGATATTTCTTCTGTGCTTCCCAATACACTAGAGGCACAAGGAAAAATATCTTCCTGTCTACTTTTAGCATTTGATTGATCAATTGTTTCTCCATGAAGATTGCATTGACCCACTCCCGATGTAGGATTCTGCAAATTATCTCTTGGTTCTTGATTTGGGATGATGAGAGCATCAACTTTCTCAGAAGTCACTTCTGATACATGAATAACCTTATCAATCATTACTACACGAGTTTCTTCAGTAATCCCTAGTGCTTGATTTGATGGCATTAACTTTGGGACATCTAACACATCTGATTGGGTTGATATCACACTGAAAACAAAATCAATAAGCAACTTTCTAAAAATACGCTGCAGCTAGACTACTTATGAATATTGATAAATAGGCTATATGTTCAAAAATAAATTGATTTGGTGGACAAGTTTTACCAGCAGGGAGGGCCCTGGTCTAAAGGATTCTCATTTGTTTGATCTTCTGCTCTTGATTTCTTATTTTGACCCAGATCTACAAGTGGATCACCAGCTTTGTTAGTCAAGTTCCCCCTGCCTCTTTTCCGCCTGCCCACGGGATGTTCATCCGAAAATAAGAGAGCAGTTTTTCCATTCACGTCTTTAGTCTCAGATTCAAATTCATTTGTTCTGTTAGCATTTTCATCACGAGAGGGTACTTCAACTATTACTTTAGGTTCCTCACAAGCAAATCCCATTTGCTGTCCCTTACTAAAATTACCAAGTGGTTTGTCAATTTCCAAGTTCTCTTGCCCATTGCTAATGTTACCTGAATCAGATACCAGAGGAGAATCTACTTTTCTCATGAGCTGCTTCTCAGGAGAATTTCTGAAAATCATTTCTCTGCATCGTTTTATCCATGAGAAACGAACAGGGCTAGGAGGAGAAACAACAGATGACTTCTGCACAGTTGGAGTATCATCAAACCCTTTGCTGATGTTATCACCAGCTTGTGTTCGAGTTTGATGCTTCAAGTTCTTCCTTGCAGAGATTTTCTTTCGGTTAGATTCCATATCAGATTTAAGCATTTCATTGATAGCAATGTCATCAGAAACAGCTTTCAAATCATTTAACTTTTTCAATTCTTCACTCTGGGCATAAATTTCAATTCTATCAGCATGCAACAGTTCTCTCTGTTTTTGTAGTTTATCTCTTTGAACCTCAAGTTCCTCAATACAGTTAGTCAGTTCAGTCCATTCCCTATTTCTCCGTTCACGATCCAAATTTATCTCAGCCCGCTCAGTTTGAAGCCTTTTCATCTCCATGGAGACCTGTTCCAACTCATTTGCTGCCTTCTCCTTAAGAGCATTAATGTAATGGAGTTCAGTGATCTTTTCTTCCTCAAAAACCTTTTCTCTTTCCTTCAAATAACTTTCCACTTCTTCACGTCTCTTCTCAATGAGGTTATTCAGCTCCTGCTTTTGCATCTCAATGTCCCGTAAGAAATCTGCTCGTTCTTTCTGCATCTTGCCAAACCATTCAGTATGTTCAAGTGCCATCTTGTTCATGAACTTTTCCCGTTCACTGGCAAGAAAGCCCAAATCTTGGGTGTACTGATTACGTAAATTTTCTTTCTCTCCTCTTAGCTGGTCACGCTCATTCTTAATAAAATTGGAAACTGCCTCCCTTTCCTTTGCTATGAATTCTGCTTCTTTCTGCAACTCTTCCTTTTTCTCATCAAGAAGCTCCCATTCAGCTTCAAACTTTGCCTTCTCAGCTTTCAGCTTATCTGCCTCAGTCAAAAGCTCCAACTTCTGAGATCTTACAAGATCAATCTCTTCCTTTAGCTTAACTTCCAAAATTGACAAGTCCCCTGTTTCACTTTTCATGGCCTCCAGTCTCTCTCTTTCAATATCAACTTGTTTTACTTTATTTTCCAGAGATGCCAAAGATTTCTGCAGATCATGCTTTGCTTGGTCAATATCATCTTTCTCCTTTTGCAGAAGGGCTTTGTTTAATTCATACTCCTTCTCAGTAGCACTCAACCTATGATCTTTTTCTTCAAGAGCACTTGACAAATGCACCAGATCCTTCTCCTTCTCACTCAATGTCCTTGACAGAACCTCCAATTCATGTTCCTTTTCCAGGATTTGATCCTCACGTTGTTTAAGATCAACCTCCTTCAATTCCCAAGCCCTTCTCTTCGCCTCAATTTCATTTTCAACCAATTTGCGCTGCATTTGTAGCTCAACTTCCAAATTATGTTTTTTGGTTCTTAATGTGGCTTCCTGACCAGCAATAACTTTCTGAGTTTCATCCTACATTTTCCATCAAACAGAAATAAAAGAATAATGAAATAGAGAAAAAGATCAGAAATTAAGATGAAAAATAAACAATGGTGAGAGAACATACAGATTCTCTATTAGAAAGTTTCACTTGAAATTCAAGTAACTCTTGCTCTTTCTTGTTCAGCTCTGTTCTCCATTTAGTAAGTTCCTGTTTTCACAACATAAATCCACACATGAACAAGAAAAAATTAATAAATACTTAATACCAGTTTCATCCTGAGCCAACAGAGAAATTTCAAATATGAACCTCTTCTCGTTGTGTTAAGGTTGCCTCCATCAGCTTTAGGGAGGTTTTCTTGTCATGGAGAGTTTCATGTTCCTTTTCAATTTTCACCTTTGTCTCCTCCAGCTCTTTTTGAAGACGATTTAATTCCTGAGCTCTAGTGAAAAGGTGATCCTCTCTCTGGTTGAGCAAGGCTTGTGATTGAAGTAATCTTTCCTGTTCTTGCTGCAAACCCTTTTGTCTTTCAGAAAGAGATTGCCTCTCAAGAATCATCTCCTTTTCTTTTTCATCACAACTGTAAGAGGGGATAGGGGGTGGGTGAGAGAGAGAGATCAACTTAATTTCTGGAAAAAATGGAGCTATCAAAATTTCAATCATTGCAGGGAGACTAAAATCACATACACACCATATGGAACTATTTAAAAAAAAAAAACTTCACATGTTCAGTTAATGTGTTGCAAAATGTTAAAAAACAAAAGTACATTAACTGTCAGATGCACAGCATCATTCATAACCTGGTCAATTGTATGATGTCGTACAAACAACAACCCAGCCTTACTACAATTGTACGATGTCATAAAATAAGTAATTATATTAAGTAGAAGAAAAATTAAGCCATAGAACCTGAAGCAATAAACAAAATTTGACCCATCAATTTCTTTCTCTTGAGGCTTTTCACATCATCTATAACTATGATATGTCTATAAGCATAAGAAATGCACAGGATTGATCAAAACCAGGTAACCAGCACAATGTTGAGTCACAACCTATTCTGAAGCTATGTGCTCGAGATTGCAAAAATGAATGAGGGAGATAGTAGCAAGTCAGCAGAAAAATCCAAACATGATTTATTATAAATATATAAGTAACATACTCTGACTTGAAAGATATGATTTGCCGCCTGAGGTTATCTTCACGTGCTTCAACATCACGAAGCTTTCGTTCTGCAACACTGTTATATCGGTTAGCCTCTGCCTGCAATGATTCTGCAGCACGCACCTTGGCTTCAGCCTCTGTAGACTTTTTCTGTGCTTCATCTGTTAGCTGCCATGCTTCAGCAAATTTACTATCAGCTGCAACCTTTGTTTCAGCACATTCAGTACGCATCTCGTGCAATGCCTTCTCAAGCTACAAAAAGCAATAAAAGATACTCTAGAAGTGTGAGCAAAACAAATATTTGCAAAAGCTAGCTTATATGGTTTTCAGGGGATGAGAAGAAACATTCAATAAACTTACACTTGCAATGCATGCGTCTTTGACGCCAACTGTCTTCTTCAAGCTTTCTTCGCGTTTCCTTGCTTCAGTTAATGCAGATTTATTCATGGCTGAATCATGTTTATGCATTAACTCAGATGATTCAGCCAAGGCCTTCACTTGCTCATATTTGGAAGACAATTCCTTTTTCTCCAATATGAGAAGGCCCATGTGGTGCTGATGATCATATAGCTACGAAAAAATACAGGTTAGATACAAAGTGAAAGAGGGAGAGGAATAATTAATTTTGCTAGCACTAACAGCAGGTAGGTTTAACTGTATCTTATAAAAATGAAATACCCCATAATTATTTTTGTAGACCGTTCACTTGAAAATGAAACTCAATTGATGAGGAAAGGAGTTCGTTTCTGTGATAATAAACTAGTTCCCAGTACCAGCAAATTAAGCATCAATTCAAATTTCTCATCTGCTCATGTAAGTGATGGACGTTAACCAACCAAGCAGAAAAATTAATGGAAAACTCTTCAAACGACAAAAAAAATACAATGCAAAAGAGCAGAAATTCAGCAATCAATTAAAGAAACCAAGTTTTGTAACTTGTGATATGCACCAGGAATCCAGGATATACAGTCACTGGAGGAACATAAAAAAGATGAAAGTAATATTAAGTTAGTGGACAACCAAATGATTTTTGGCCTAATTAACAGCCCGGAATGACAAGAACCTTTCTAAATTCTGGGGCTACAAATAGGACAGATTTAAAACTTCAATTTGTTGGTCTTTGACAGGCATACCTGTGAGACTAATCCCCTAGGCCAGAGGAGGTGCTTAGGTAAATCCCTCCGCAAAAGGGAGACTATATAGGATTTACATAGTCCACTGCCACGGGAATAAAACAATGGTAATTTAAAATTGAAATTTGATACACTGCACTCTCAACAAGAACAACTAAGCCTTATTCCACTAGGAACTGCACTCTCAATGTATCATAATTAAATCCAAACTAAAACCATAATACATCATATTCTATAAGAGGGAAAATGGCTGTGGATCCAGAGTTTCCCACCAATACACCAAAATTCCAAGCACTGACTTTTGCTTTTTATCCAATCACAACATTACCAGGTGCTAATTCACTACAAATTACGTTTAAGGAACACGAATACAGGATCTAACCACTAAGCCCATACTTATCAAGCAAGTTCATAGTTGGACTGAGCCAACGAAGCAGCAACAGAATAAACAAGATACCATATGAAGCTATATCGAACATCAGGCTCATCATTAAAGTATTCTTATAGAAGATAAGCCATCTCACAGATTATTAATGAATATTACTTAAATTATCCAACCACAATCAATATCAAAAAGCCAATCAATCTAAAATCCCCGACCATAACAGTTTACCTAACTAGTTGTGAGCATTCATTCACTCGCGTTTTACGCGATCAAGAAACTTGATTGCAATGCCTCTTCTGATTAACAGTTCCCCCAATTCAATTCACTCAGAAGCTCTCGAATCAAACAAATTGAAATTAAAAAAAAGAAAAAAGGAAATTACCAACCTCAGCTTCAAGCTTAGCGATATAAGAAACAAGCGCAGCCTTATCTTTGTGCTTAATTGATTCCTCGTCAAAGCCAGCGTCTTTGAGGCGCTTCCAGATCTGTTCATCGGTGAGAGGGCTTCTCAAAACCCTAGAACCAGGAGTAATAGACAAGGGTTTTGAAGAACGAGGAGTCGAAATCTCCATCTCCGACTCCGCGACCGGTTCTTCAAACTAAAACCTTTCGCTTCACTGATCGTTGCTCTGATTCTTAGAAACGTTTCTACAGAGTTCTCCGTTAACTTCTGCTTATTCTTTTCTTTCCCTTTGCTTTTGGGAATATGTGCGGTGCATTCGCGTCTTTGACAGATTGAAGGTAGAAAAGAAATGCACTTTACTACTCACACTGTATAGAGCTCCCAACTTTTCCTCCTGAAAGTGTTGCCAACGTGACGGATGTCAAACGACCCCGTTTTGACTTTTTTTAAATTGTAATTTTGGATTTTTTTAGATACATTCGAATTCTACAGGCGCCTTTTTACCTCAATCCATTGTCACCATCACCAACGAAAGGAAAGCGGAGATTCGCTATTTAAACTTCGATATTTTCTACCCAAAAAAATGACATTTTGTTTTTGGAGGAAGTATATTTTTATTTTAATCCTAAATCGTATTTTTATCGTCTTGTGTGTCAGTGAGTGAATAAATTAATATAATAACATCTCAGTCGATAGTATTTTGGCTTTATTTTGGTGACCGAAAGCCATCTTTTGACTTTGAGTTATTATAATAATATAGTAATACTCTAACTGGATAACTTCTCAAAATATTTCATGGGATTGATTTGTTTTTAAACTTTTTAAATTATCATAAGAAAATGAAATACAAAAAACTCACTAGCAATCATATTAATCATAAATTGACTTTAAACGATGTAACTGCCAATCATATACCAAAATTTTTATTATTTTTATCGGATATCTCTATATATAATTATAAAACAAATCCTTTGAGTTAGGATAGGCATTAAGTAAAATCTTTATAATAATAACTTGAAAATTCAAACCCTTAACATAAGTTTCTTTCTTTTTTATATTTTTGCTTCTTCTCTTTTTAATAAGGATGGCTATTGTTTTTGTATGAAATGGGCCTTACGCCTGAGGCCCAAAATTAAGAAAAAAAATGAGAAGGAAAGAAAAGCCACAAGCGAAACATATCCTCATTTGTTAACAAGAATAAGAACGTTCATTCTGGACGATTGATAGTCAAGAATCTGCTGGAACTTCATTCTCGTTCGTTCTTTATTTAGCCAAACTGTTGTTTGTCAGATAGTCAGTGCACACATTACTTCTCTGCCATGTGCCACCAAGAATATTATCCACTCTTTGTGAGGCCAAAATTTTGACCACCTAACTAGTTTGTTTTTTTTTAATGCTCTCCCAATAAGCTTGTTTAAGTGCAGATTAATCTGAAAAACGTTGCTTAGGAGGAAAGTGTTTATAATTTTTAAAATTTTGGATGCTCGTTTTACTTTAGTCTTAAGTTAAATAGGAATCTGAAAATACATTATTATACTTTGACACTCATTTTTATTTTAGTGGTGATTACATTTCTAGTTACAACCCAATCATATGAATTGGGAGTGAAAACATTTTAATTTTTAATTTGACATCTGAATTTTCTCGTTTTGTGAGTATAAACTATATAGTTATTACACCCTAATCAAGTTCATTACGTAGCTGCGGGACACGTTGGGTGATGCAATTCATGCCAGAGATACGCATAGTACCAACCCGTGGCTCAAACGTGGTAATATTCGGGTCTCTCCGTTGCACGCTTTTGTGTGTTTGTGTGTGTGTTGCCCCAGAACAATTACAATACAAACAAACGTAATTTGTTGGACCAAAAAAAAGACGTACTTTGTTGAGCTATGTACAGAACAGTGGTAAAGCATGCAGAGAGAAGTATAGGGTAAAAAATTGTATTACATATCGAATATAGCTTTATTTTTCTGGTAGTAGTCATTGATCCAACCTTCTATTAGCTTGATCTCAGTCTCCCTCTGCTCTACCAACCAATCAGGATCATTTAGAGTTGAAGCACGTAAATCTATGTGGTGCGCACCTGAGTTGATTTAAGAAAAAATGATTAACTTTTTCAATTAATGTAATGAAGTGCCTCGAGTTTTTTGGACCAAAATGGCAAAGGGGCACTCTGCAGTTTAAAGGTGTTAGAAAGAAGTCAAAAGGGATTATAATCAATAAGGCAAAATAGATGTAGATTATACCAATGCCATGTAGAAAAATACTAGTATTAATTTCAGACAAGAAAATAGACTTGGATCCATACGTTAGAATACTAACAAATTCAAAACAATCAAATTCTTTACCTTCTTCAGTGACAAGTGAAACAACGCTTTCAGATATATTCTGCAAAACGCTGCAACAGAAAGAATTGCATATCAGAATTTGACATCAACTGTCAAAGATAATCATTAGTTGGAAAAATATAAAACAAAATAGCCAACATCTTTACAGAATAATTTATATATCACCTGCCACCACTCCACGGATCCAAGAGGCCATTTGAGAAAATTATATTGCTTCCAAATTTCTTCAAGGTGGCATGGATATTCTTCAAAAAAGATGCCCAGGCACAAAGGAATAACGGGTTATAACAGCATAATTCATAATGCAGTTTTCAATTGAGCATGCTTTTGTACAATCTATCTAAATGGCATCGCCAAGGGAGAGGATCATTTATTTTAAAGCATCAACTATCTTTTTTTTTCATTTATTTTCTAGAAGGATAACTATGTTCATAAATAATAAGTGATTTTAGACAAAATTGATGTTGGCAAATCCATTTCTGTAATGGTGTCAAGCTAGTGTACCAAAAGGTGTGGTACAGTCACCACGTTAAATTTTTCTAGGTTAACATACCAGCATGCCTTGATACAATCTTTTGCGTCACAGTACATTTCGTTAGAGATAGAGGGATCACAATATATATTACTTGATAGCTGAAAGCCTGAAACGGCTGAAGCTAAAGAATAAGTCATTTTTCAACATTTACTCACAATTTACTTGGTCACCCAAAATCCCCCAGTCCATACTCCGTAGAATTATACCTTTTCCTGTTTTCTTCATTCAAATATTTCTGAGTCATATTGATTATCGAATCACCAAGCCCTCACAACTAGAAACTATCTTTGCTTTACCCTACTGCCTGATATAGCTTTTATTTTATTTTTTGGTAATGTAATGGGTGATATAGCTTATTTACATGCATAAATAATGTTTCATACATCTACTGGAAGAATACATTGAATTTATTCATTCAATCTATCAAGCATGTAAAATTGACCAAAATAACTATATTAGTAGACAGAGATCATCATGCACTTAACCAGAATATCGAATAATGAAGAATTCTTTGGGTCTTGAAAATAATGGAAATGTATGGAAGTCAGATTTATCTATAGTTACTCCCTTACATGTCCACCAAATTCTGTAGTAATCCATTTTGGCCTTGGCTTTACTCCGAAATTCTTGAAGCACTCCTCTTGGAAAGATGGATAATTATACTCGTATGGGGGAAACATGCTGGACTCCTCGCGGCTAGACATTGGCATAACCATCTCAGTGCAAGCCTACATCACCAATAAGAAAAGATATTTGTCAAGGCATGTCATATTATTAGGATTTAGGCCTCAAACACTTATCCAGCAAGTAACAAAAAGAAAAGGGAAAAACATTTAACTTTTGTAAACCTGCCAGTTCCAACCGCTCATGCCATGAGGATCATCATCCAGTTTAAAGCATTCAGCTTCTCCAGTATAATTGTAGTAGACATTCACTCCTTCATATATGCGCTCCAGAACACTAGTCCCAGTAGGACCCCTATCAATCCTTTTGCAAACCTATAAGAGAATAACATGTTGATTAGTATAGAGTACAAAAAGGACCTTCCCAGGCTTAGAATAACAAACTAATTTCTTTCCTGGTTACCAAGACCAAACATGTTTCTGAAAACATCCACTAGTTAACTTAGTTTCCTGGTAGCATCACAAAAGTCTACCAAGGAAATTTTGAAAATAAGATAACAGGAGTAAATTAGGAAAACACAACCGTCTTATACACAAGTTTGTACAAATAATAAGATGTCGATGTTATGTTACGAAACTAAACTAACCTCCCTGATGGGGTGTCCAGGCAAGGGCATCAAAAATTCAGAAGGATATGGGTAGTTCACCATTGCCAAATAACTATATGCAGACTCCAGCCAGTCATTTAGATCTCCAGTCCTCTTCAATTGCCTTCAATTAGTTTAACAGAATCAGCACAAGAAAAACAATAAAATATGAACTACACCATTCAAAAACATGTAATGGAGCACAGACACACATATTTCTTCGAAAAAAGCCTTACTGACATAAGTTGAAAGTTTTGGTCAAACGCTCAAGGCCGTTATTTGTTTGACCCGTAGATGTTATCTCATCCCATGACTGTTTTATATAGCTAAAGCAAGTGGAACTTTCACGCTATTGATACAAACAATAGAGTAAAACTGTAATTAGTATACTATTTACAACACGGACAAATACGACAAGAGCGAAGAGTAGCTCCCTCACTCACCCTGAAATCATTGGAAACAATGTCATAGAAAGTTTCTGGCGGCACAATGTCTTCAAATTGAAGAATTGGAGCCGATGAAGCCAGTGCTCCAATAGCAATATGTGGATACTTGAGTCTCATCCATGCTGCTAACACTGTATTTAAAAACAATGTTCAGAAACGATTATGAATATAAACCCACTATTTGGTTATCTTAAAAGAGTAACGTATTAACAACACACTCTTTAATTCACATTTTTATATTAAACAACATTTTAAAAAGTGATCACTTTACAAGACATGTATTTTGAGTTGTTAAAAAATAGATCAATGACAATAAATGTGTTGAAGAGTGTATTTAAAATAGTGTACTACTGACATTTCTTTTAGCTTAAATTATTAAAAGTATATAACATAGAGAAGCAAGCAAAGAGTGTGTTAATTACTTCCACCATATGATCCTCCAAACAACACAACGGGGCAATCCTTGGAGGAAAAATTTTGCTTCAGATCAATGAGCAGAACAGAAAAATCAGCAAGCGCTTGTTCAGCTGTAAGGTACGATAACGTAGTAGCATTCTTATACGCTTCCTCTCTACTCCCATACGGCATAGATTCGCCATAATATCGATGCTGCCAAACACACATATAGAAAGCAGTTACTTCACAATTATCTTAGAGCAGACCGCGGATACATTGAACACACTTACTTCTGGAAAAACCACCATAGCCCCGAATTGAGGGGCGATTTCCCAAACGAAGCCCGTGTTTTCGGCGAACCATACGATATCGCCTTCGTTGCCGCAGTAGAAGAAAATGGGGCCCATGCGGTGGGGACCCACCCAGTGTTCGGTGTTGATAAGGTACCGCTGCGGGAACGTGGGCAGCTCCGAAAAGCTGAAGTGGTCGAGGCGTTGTTGGAAGTATCTGGTTTCGTAGTGAAATTGCGGTTGCTGGAACTCAGAAGGTTTGGTTGATGCAGCTGCGAATTTGCCTAGGAATCGCGGAGCATGCTTCAACGCTAGTGGCTGCGCTGAATGAAAGACCACGATGATGGCAACTGTTACCAGCAGCGTGCTCAACCTCAACCCCAACAAACGCTGTCCTTCCATTCTTGCCGAACTTACTCGCTGAGCCAGTCAGGTGACACGACACTCGCATCGACTCGTTCGATTCCCAAATGCCATGTCAGGTGTGGGCTTTGGTTTGTTTTTGGGCCTTCTTGCTCCATTTCAGCCCAAAATCATTACGTAAATATTTAATACAAAATGATTCTGGACAAAACAAAAAAGCAAAACTGTTATTTATTTTTTATGTCTTATTTATTTAGATCAATTACCAGCTATGTGACAAAAAATACTTATACGTCGGCGATTCATTATTTGCATCTTTAATGTGAGAAAAAAAGTTGACCATTTTGATTAAATAAATAATTTTATTAGATATAAGTATTATATGGATAACTAATTAATAAAGATATTACAAAATTAAAATGTTTTATTTTTATCTAATATTTTTCATTATTATTTTTTTAAAATGAAAAAAAAAAAGCTATGTTAATAGATTATTATAATAATTTGGCTATAACATGAATTTGTGAGAATACTTTTAGACTTTATATACAAGTGCAAGGAAGAAAATGATGCCTATAGGACCCTATATGCATAAAAGAGGTGTACATGAGGTGTTACTACATTCATTATTCATAAAAGAAAATAGATCTCTAACTAACTACTAGTGTGGTGACTATATAATGACTGACTTATTCTATTGTAATTATGTTGCACTTTGCCTCTGGAATCTTTTGAGTGATCATGCTTCGTGTGCTCTAATACTCCCCATAAGCTGGAGGGTAGAAAATGTCATCCATCCCCAACTTGGGCAAAAACTAGCAAAGTGAAGGTCTTAGCAAAGAGATCAGTCACTTGCATGAAGGCAGGTATAGGAAGCAACTTCATTCACCCCACTTGAGAACGTTTATGAACAATATAGTAGTTTATCTCTAAATACTTTGTGCACTCGCATAACATTAGATTTGCCACAATATGCAATGCATTGTGATTATCCTAATAGAGCAATGGAGTTTGGGACCAATGAAGATGCAAGTCTCGAGCCAAAAAGCATAGCCACTAAAGTCGCAGTAAGAGCGTGGTACTCTCCCTCTCATGATAAGGGTAGTCTATTTCTTGCTCCATCAACAGATAAAAGAACTCCCCAAGAAGAAACAGTACCTGGTGATACACCAGCGTGTGTCTGAGTAACTGGCCTAGTCAACGTCACTAAAACCTGAGATAGAGAGTGGCAATATGACGAAATAACAAGTCACAACTTCGGTTTCTTTTCAAGTAGTAGAGAAGATGGAGAGTAGCTTAGTATTGGGTCATTGTTAGTGCTACCATGAACTGAGAAAGTTGTTGGCTGGCGAAAGCAACGTTTGGACATGTAATGGTTAAATATATGAGCCTTCCCACAAAATGTATATAGCTCTCTGGATCATGGTAAGGAGCGCCTCCATCGCTAGTGAGGTGAAGGCCCACATAAGCTAGTGTTGGGCTGGTTTGAACTTGAGAAAGCTAGCCTCACTAAGGATGTTAAGACAAAATTGTCTTTGAAAGAGAAATACACCCATGCAAAAGTGAGCAACTTCCAAGCCCAAAAAAAAAACGTAGAAGGCTAAGGTCTTTGATATTAAAATGATGGTCCAACCTCTACATGATTGAATTAAATTCAATCATGGAGTCACCTGCTAAGATTATGTCATTGACATAGACCAAAATGACAGTAATGTGTGATTGTGAGAACTTAATAAAGAGGGAATAGTCACTTAGACTTTGGACATAATCACTATTTACCAAGAGTGCAATAAGCTTATCAAACCATTGGTGACTAGCCTTTTTTTAGTCCATAAAGTGACTTCAGTAGCTTGCAAGCTTTCTTTGAGCCTGGAGAGGAAGCCCAAAGGGAAGCTCCATATAGACATCTTCTTATAAGTCACCATGTTAAAAGGCGTTATTAACATCCAATTGATGTAAAAACCAATTGTGAACTAAGTCTAAAGCAAGAAAAAATCTAATAGTTGTTATTTTGGCAACTAGTGAGAAAGTTTCAAAGTAATTAATGCCTTCTGCTTATGTGTAGCCTTTGGCTACTAATTTCACCTTATATTGATAATTAAACCATCAACATGCCTTTTAATTTTGTAGACCCACTTACACCCACTAGAAATGACATAAGTAGGAAGATCAACTATGTCCCAACTTCTATTCTCCTCCAAAGCAGCAAGTTCAGCATCCATGGCTATCAGATTGGTATATTTATGTATACCTATTATTATATTTGAATTGTATTATGTATGATTAAAGGGTATGAATTATTCATACATTAAAATGTGAATGTAAAAGTTGTGTGGTTGCCAAATAAGGAGCAGTGTGATTGTCATGCTGTGTTATGATGTTGTTGAGTGTGATGTACAAAGCGGGTTAGAGATTGGTTGTTAAGCGAGTTGTATATGAGATAAACTAAGGAGTATGACCGAGAACCTATATAATCTCATCTGAGAGAGAGATTGAGTTCTAGGTATAGGGTGTCTCGCTCAAGCGAGGGTAATCTCGCTCAAGCAAGAAGTTGTCGTGCAAAATTAGGCATTCTAGAGTGTTCTCGCCCAAGCGATAGCAGATAGGATCACTCCAGCTGTCCTCTCACCCAGGCGAGAAGGGATCTCGCTCAAGTGAGAGGCAACCTCGCTCAAGCGAGAAGTCACAGGATTAATGGGTAACTCTTTAGACCCAATCTTGCCCAAACAAGAATGCTGCTTGCTCAAGCGAGATGCAGCTCGCTCAAGCAAGGTGTTTCTCGCTTAAGCGAGAATAGTAGAAATTTGAGAGGTTCCACTGTCTGATTTTTTCGCTTAAGCAAGTATTAGCTCGCTTAAGCGAGAATGCACGGGCTGGAGGGGTATTTAAGGGAACCACAGCGCTCAGGAACTTCATTTTCTCACTAGACAACTGCTCTCTCTCATTTTCTTGTGTTCTTTCACTTATCCTCATTAGAGAAAATCTTCTCAAAGCCAAATTCTTTCTCGAACAAAGTAAGATTGTCTATCTCATTAAGATCTAGGTGAGTTCTCAGAGCTCTATTTTTTTGTCTTTACTTTGTTTCTTCCTCTTTTCTTCTCAAGAGACTTATACCTTGTTGTTCTGAGTAGATCTGAGCCGTATTTTATATCCTAACGCCTGATCTGTCTCTTCGGATCTCACTAAGAGTACAATCTTGGAACTTGTTCTAGATAAGGGGAGCTTACCTGATCTGATCTACTTCATTTAGTAGAGACCGAGATACTTATATAAATCATTTCATTCTAGCTAAGAATAGTGAGCTATATAAGTTAATCTTAGGCTAGAACCCAGAGTCTGTATGGTCAACTAGATTTCTTTGTTGTCAGATGAGTGTTAGAAAGCTGTAATAGAATATAACCTGCTCGAATATTGTGATATATGAGCTAGACCAACCATGAGGATAGTTTAGAAGTGTGATCGCCCAGGGCCCAAATTTGAAAAGGGCCCAAAGTAAAAATTATGTTATGCTTTCATGTGGAAAAAAAAGTTTCAGCTCTTAATTGAAGGTTGCAGTTGGAAAAAAAAAAGACAAAAAAGACTATTCAATTCCTCGCACCGCACTTGCCATCATCATAATCGACTCCTTACTTCTTTAGACTTAAAACTTCATTTAATTCTCAAATTCTACTCTTCTTAGCATTAAAGCTCATAAAATTTTTTAATTTTTTCCAAAAAAATTAAACAATTTTTGAGTTTGTCAAATTTGCATATTGCTATCCAGATATTTTAATCGCCTATAGAATTTATTTATTTTTTATCTCGGTGATTGTAGCATTAGTTGAAAGAAGTTTCTCAAAGTTAAAGTTGATCAAAACCTACCTAAAGTCATCAATGTTACAAGAATAATTGAATGGTCTTACAATTTTATCGATTGAGAAGAAATTTTTAAAAAACATTACTATTAATATTATCATCAATGATTTTGCATCTCAAAATGCTCATAGAACTTATTTTTTATGATTTTTTATATTTTTGTAGTTGATTATATCATAGGAGCTGTTTGAATGAAATAACATTCTTTTTGTAATTTTATTAGAAAAATTATATTCACTTAAAAAATGTATTATTTTAATAGAATTATTAACATATACTTTATTTTATTTTGTTACATTCTATAATTTTTTTAAAGGAATTCATTCTATAATTTTTTTAAAGGAATTCTAATTTTTTATTTTGTCTAGGACCTCAAAAAGTTCTAAGAACAGGCCTGTATATGAGCTAAATGTGTTAATATATGCTAGAATATTCAATTAATATTTTAAGTTGCTTAATTTATTTGTGTACTATGTACGAAATGCTTGATTTTACTGTGAAATATATATAGTTGAGTTATTGAAGTTGGATGAAATTGTATATCTTGCTATATTGTTGAAGCTGAAAATAAAAATTTGTTATGCTATTGTCGCAACCGGACAGTCGCAACGGTACGGCGAAAAACGTTTTTAAGAAAAAAAAAATTAGTAGAGTCGCCATCGAGGTTTATCAAAGAAAACTTCAGAAAAAAAAAAAAACTTAAAATTTTGATCTTTAAAACCAAAAATGAATTCGGGAGTCATTTACGTGTACGAAAGATGTTAGCACCCTACAACGTCTGTTTAAATAACGATTACCTTAATTTAATTGTACAAATTTAATATAATTTTGAAAAGCATTTGTTTAACCCTTAGAAAATAAATGTCCCTATTTTTTATTTTTAAAGAAAGAAGATTTATTCATTAAAATGTTAAGTTATATCTTAGAAAGAAAAAAAATTATTTTTTAAAAATTGTTTTGACTCGACAGATAAGATTCTGCTCCTACGTATCTCTGGGTGCAATGAATAATTCAAAGTCACGTAGTTCTATATAAAAATTACGAAATTGATTGATTAAAATTAAGTTCTGTAAAAAGAAAATTTGTGTTTAAAATTAAAATTAGTTTTATAAAATTATAATATTTAGAATACAAGATAACGTAGTTATACGTGTACTCTACGAGAAACAATACGAAAGGTAAAGGAAAATCACACATCCATATTATAGGTTGTTGTGAAA